GGGAGGTTTATGAGACTTTATGATGGAATGAAAAATATTACATGCATTGAGTGTTCGGCGTTGTTTTGTGGTTAGCCAACCAATGCTTCGAATATGATTGGAAATATGTTCTCTTCTTCTGACCCCGCAAACCATTCCGGCACAAGAGTTCTGAAGCTTTTGTAAGCGTGCTGAGTCTGATTGACGGATATTTGGACCATAAATGGCATCACCGTAATTGAGGTGCGACAGAACCAAAGCATTGCAAAGTAGTATTCTAGAATTCTTGTTGAGCATTTTTTTATTCGAATATATCAATCTCAGATTATTAAACCCTGTACGAATTATCATGGAAACATGAGAGGAGAATCTGAGATCTGTATCAATTATTAAACCCAGATTCTTACAGGACTCTTGAATTGGCAGTGTATCACCATTAAGAGTGATCTGTTTACGATTTGCACAACGTGTCCTCATGACATTTCTACCAAATAACATTACATTTGACTTGGATGCGTTGATTGTTAAACCTAGCTTCTCCGAAGAAGAAAGCAGCGATTCGAGGTCACTATTTATGTGTATTAATGACAGATCTAGATGCCGTTCCTCAAATTGATAATATAGCTGAGTATCATCAGCGTAGAAGTGGCTAGAACAATGTTCCATAGATTCAACAAGTTGACTTGTGTAGAGAATAAAAAGTAAGGGACCCAGAATGGTCCCCTGAGGAACCCCATTTTCTACTTCAATCCACTCAGATTGTGCTTTTTCAAGGATTACTCTTTGAAAGCGATTCGTTAGATATCCATTAACTAAAAGACAGGCTTTATTAGAGAACCCTAAATATTTTAGAATACTCACCAACAAAGCATGATTTATCCTGTCGAAAGCTTTGGAGTAATCAAGCAGAATCAACACAGTTTATTCGAGTCAACCGCGTGGAGAACGTCATCTATCACCTTCAAGACAGCAGTTACACAACTATGTGCCGGTCTAAATCCAGACTGACACTCTGGTAAAATACTATTTCCTTCGGAAAATAAGCGAATTTGTTTATCGATCGTTTTCTCAAAGACTTTGGATAAGGTGGGTAACAGACTTATCGGACGAAGATCCTTGTAGTCTTCGGGAGCTTCAGTCTTAGGTAAGGGTATAACATTTGCAGTCTTCCAAGCAGAGGGATAAACAGATTTTTTTATGCAATAGTTGAAAATATGCGTGATAAATTGTAGTAGATAAGGACAACCCAATAATAACATAGAAATGGAAATACCATCTGACACTACTGCTTTTGACTTGATAGAAAGTATACTACGATACACTTCGCTCTCGTCAATTGTTTTGAATTCGAAGTTGAGATCATAAGAGATATTTGAATTGTAGTAATTCATTGTTTCTTGGTCGATATTCGATTCACCTCTTGAGCTACTAATGAAATATTTGTTTATGAAATTGACATCAGAGAGGTGGTTTGGTATGCAACGGTCTTGATCTACTTTAGTTAGGTTCATATTTTTCAATTCCTTCCATAAATGTTTGTTACCAGATTGTACTTTTTGTTCTAAATAGGCTTTTTTTCGAGAGTTATAGTTTTGTTTGTTAAGTTACGTGAATCTTTATAGTATTCCCAATGACCTTGACGTTTAGTTCTTTTGAATTTGCTGAGTGCTTTGTCACGAATATGCATCATAAATTTGAGATTGTCCGTGAGCCAGGGTGCATTTTTTTTACTGATTCTTACTGTTCGATAAGGAGCATGTGTAGCAAATACCGAAAGTAGCAGACGATTGAATTCGTTAACCTTATCGTCAATGTTAGTAAGAAATTGAATTCGTTCAAAATCAGTACATGTTAAATCTGCCATAAATGCATCTTTATCGAAATTCCGGAAATTCCTGTAGGTGTGATTGAAAGGAGTAATTTCTGGTTTGTTTGTGATAATTGAGCAGGAAACTAAAAAGTGATCAGTGGAAGTTGAGCAATCAACGTTTTTTACATTACTTATTTTAAGTGATTCTGAATAAAAAATCACGTCTATGAGCTTCATAGTAAGTTGCGTTATTCGTGTAGGTTCAGTGACGATTTGCTTCAACTCAAAACTATTTCCTAACTCGAGCAGACTATTTGAATTGATGTTACCTGGATTGAAAAGATCAATGTTTACATCCCCCATTATAATTACGTAATCAAATTTGTAGCTAATTTCAGACAAAACAGTTTGCAGTTCATCTATAAAGGAAGTAACGGGAAAGTCATCGGGCCTGTAAACCGTGCCTACGAGAAATGTTTTGTTATCTGTTTTGAAACTGACCCATAGTTGTTCAGAGACTATTAATAGATTAGTTTTTATGATCCGGCCAGTCAAGTTAGATTTGATGTAGATAGCAACACCACCTTCGCGCCCTATGCGGTCCAGCCTGTAGAATGTATAACCTGGTAGTTGAACAGAAGCATTTGTTATGTCGCAGTGGAGCCAGGTCTCAGATACAAAAATTATATCATATTTTTTATACACAATATCTTTGAAATTAGCAAACTGGCTTAATAATGATCTTGAATTTATGTGAGAAATTTTTAGCACCATTTTTTTAATCAGTGTTATGACAAGAACTATAAAAAAGTGAAATACAGCTTAGAACAAAATGTCACAGTGGGAGTCATCGCATGGCCAATCAAATCCTAATTCAATATAAAAATGAAAGTAGAAGACGTCTCCTCATTCCTTTGAAGCTAATCTCACTCACCTCAGTTATGAATCTCTAAAAGACCCATATGAGGATGGTGAGAAGGTATTCACGAAGGAAAGTCCAAAGAAAACGATATAGCAAGTAATGTAACTAAAATATCATGAACGAATCAATGATTCACAATATTATTATTATAAGAATTCATAAGTGTCACTCACCAATAATGTTCTCACAGTTTCACTATACAATTCACTAGATATTGAAACATTTGCTGTTTTAATACCATCCTTGGATGATTAATCAACGATATTCGGAAAAAATATCTCCACATGTCTATAAAATATTCAAATGTCAGCATTAATATTCAATATATTCAAAATAATTGATGATTGCAAACATATCATAAGCGAAACAGGATAACACTGTTGACTGACTCCCAGGTCAGCTGATTGTATAGGGTAATTCAATATGACTAATTATACAATATTGAAATAACTGTATTCAGTAATTGATCTAATCATCGTATGTCAAATGTTCAGCATTATGAGTGAAAGTGTAGGTTATTCGTATATCTTGATTTGATTTTGACCAGAATCTCGGTATATTGTACTCGGTATCGCGTATATTAGAGATACTTTTTTCTAGGCGCCCTGTATATCATTTGTGGGTTGAACATCGAAAAGCCCTCGAATGGGCCGCCGCTGCTACATTACGAGTTTTGATAGAGTTATGTTCGATTGTTCTCGTCTGGGTATTGGTGATCTAGCTGTATAACTTTTTTTTATTTAACTCAGGTTTTTTAGCTTTCCCCTGTATATTTTTCGTTCATTCAACATAAGATCCTTGCCCTGCTCTACTGCTATTGTACTACGCGTGGACGCTCTGTATATATCACCAAATGTGGCATCCGACTACCTTGCTCGTCGGAGACGGATGAAATGAAATTTTTTATATTTTCGAGTTTAAAATTCGCTTGAAGAGTCTGTAGATCTAGGGAATGGTCTGATCTGCTCTGCATGGGCTCTTATGGGGCTTTCCGCTGCGCATCGCGGAATTTCCGTAGAATCTGGGGAAAAAGGACTTGAAATTTCGAAAAAAGGTCTGGTATCGGCATATCTCATTTACTAATATAATAAATCGACCAATCAGTCCGACAGAGCGTCAGTCTATCGACAACATCACACTGAATATTTTGAATGATAACGACCATTCAGTTGACTTTCGAGGAGAGAAGATTATAGTGCAGTTGGAATTGAGACAGCTCAATCAAATTTTCAATTTCATACACCGATTTGAAAGATGGGTTTCTGCTTTGGAAACCAATCAAAATGTGTATCGCTTGCTGCTCACCCCACTATTCTGCACGTTACCAATAAGAAGAAGTGTAAACGTGGGAAAAGATTCGGTCAAGGACAAATCAATGGTCGAGTAAGACATCATAAGACATCTGCGAGCGATATACAGTTTTAGAAGTCTATTGGGTTGAGAGTGAAACGACAAAGGATCAGAAATTAGTGAACGATGGTTGCCACAAGTTCTACTAGCTTATAATTGAAAGTGTTTAATGAACCAATTTTTGATCATTCACTAATTAGTCTACATGAGCATACATACAAACCATATAGTTCTCCATCATTCAAGAAATCCGATGAAATTAGGATAGCTGTCAATTCTCAAGATTTGATACTGGATAATGCTGAAAGCTACATTTATTTCGAGGGAAAATTTATCCCAAATGATTTGGCAAAAACTTGCCATGCACTCTCATTTCTGTTCGATGAAATCCGAAATGGGCGGCGAACAGGTGTGTATGATTTGGGAACCAGGCATTACCACTACAATAAAAAGTATGATATTTTATGGGGAGACAACCACCAAATTTTTAGACACGGTTGGATGGGGTCTCGATGGAAATAAACAGGTGATTCTAGATACATCCAGTCATACATTAAGCGGCAAACTACCGCTAAAATATTTGATGGGGTTTACAGAGGACTATAATGAAGGTATTCTGAATATGAAGCAGGAGCTTATACTCGTCATAGTCATCGACTATCAACTTTCAGATAAGAAGGCATAAGCTATATTTCGAATTCAACTGACAGTACTGAATCTGCTGATTATTCATTCCGAAATCAAAAAAATTACTGAAAGTGACAGATTCTTGTGAACAGATATACTATTCAATCCAAATATTTCGACTCAATATTCTGCTGAAATTGCTGGACATCAAAAGGTAGTGTGGATTCAGTGAGTTCAGTGAACTGTCATTATATCAGAGGGGAATGGAATGTCACATTATTTATTTCTGTTTTTTTTTTTTGATAGGTCATCAATTCTATAATATATTCATAAACATAATTAATAACATCAGAACATGCCTCTCCTTGAAATAATTGATGCTGAGAATAATATGGAGTTTGAAGTAGAGGTAACAAAAGAAGAAGCAGCATTGGCAGAAAGAGGTAAAAGTATTAGCACATATTACCAAAAATGTTCTTTGTTAGCTTTCTGATTTATAATCATACATAATAATGATTGTAGATATAGAGTTCGCAACAAAATTGTTGCAAGATGCACAACAACCCTCAATACTGTGCTCAGAGGGAAGTACAAGAGATATTTGATGTTGGTGAGTATAGAATATGTTCAAAAAAATTTGAATAATCATGAACATTAATTAATTTCTAGATGACCAGCAACCCACACCTTCATCAATTCCTGGTGTTTTTATGTGGACGGTGCCAACAACCAAATATTTCATATCCCTATATGAAAAATATGAAGGAGGCCTGAGTTCTGGCAGAATCACATATAAAATGGTATGGGATAAAATCTCAAAAGAAATGAGAGTTGCTGGCTTTCCAGTTTCAAGTAAGCAATGCAGCTCAAAGCTCACATCACTCAAGAGAATGTATAAAGCTATTAAAGAACACAACAGTAAGTCAGGCAATTACAGACGAAAGTGGTTATATTATGAGGTAAGTGAATGACCTACTTCTGCTAGAAATCTGTCTATTGATGATTCACTGTTCAAAGAAATGAAACATTTTCTCGCCTTCTCAGCTATGTGATGAAATTTTCTCAAATAAACCCTGGATGGAGCTTCTGTCCACCATATCATCTGAAAATGAGAATGTTACAACTTCTGCTGCAATAGGAGCACTAGAGGCTGGAAATACTGAAAATTCTAGAAGTGAGTATATATTGTTACGTTATTCGGGTGCAGAAGCGAACACGACACTATTTATTTTCGAAATGATTTATTTGAACTATAGAAACACTAATTTATAACGAACTTATTACTACTATTTATGTAAAACGATTTATATCACGCGGTATATAACTGTCTCTCTGACACTCGCTGCTCGACTGACTGACTCAGTTGTTCGGCCGTCTTATATATGAGAACACATGGCAGGCTTTGGTCGAGAACGTTCTCGAATGATCTTCCGTCTCCTTCTTATTGTTCTAGAAGCTTCTTAAAACCATATACGTATTAATAAACAATACGGATCATAACGGGTGCCAGGATGAAGCCAAAAATATGAAACAAATAAATATCCATAAGGATTTGGTGGCATGATACGCATGCGCCATGCGCTATTATAGTAGTCATCAAAGACATGCGTTTCGGTGGACAATGACGTTTACTAGCCTTTCAATCAAAGCAGTATGTGTCTGATCGTTTCAAAACTTTTCCTTATGGATAATCATTTGTCTTCAAAAATCGGCTTCATGTTTCGCTATGGAAACAGATAGAGATTATCCGTATTGATTATTAATAGGTATATGCTTAGAACAAAACCTCTCTCTCTAATTGTTCAAGCGATTGTTTCCAGAACATTCCAGAATCTTCTGTGACGTTATTTGTCACTGCGGCATATATTGAGTGTTCGGAAATATGCTGGTGTATGTAGGAATCATTGAGAGGTTGGAGAGCAATCGGGGATGCGTGATACAGGATGATCGTTGTACTCCTGCCTTCCTGCTGATGTTTCTAAAGCCCCTCCAAGGGGAATATCATTACAATATTATTCAAATAATGCACTATTCTACAGGGGTGTTATTAAAGGTACAGAAATGACAAACACATATACTTATTCATTCTATTGACTTATTACTTTCAGGTTCAAAACCATCACTGAGTTCCAATACAAAAAAAATAAATTTGAAAAATTCCTGGAATTCAAAGAAAGAGAAGCAAATAGAAAAGAAAATCAACATAAGGAAAAAATGGCCCGCCTAGATAAGATGAATGGACTCTTGGAACAAATTTTGTTTTCAAGAAATAAGTGATTATTGGGTTTGCTGTAGAGCTCCAATTTTGAGTTTTGTGTTCTTCAATGTTGAAAGCATTACCATATGTATAGGTTGTAGCATTTATGTTCTTATACAGGGTGTTATTCAAGTATGTTGTCAAACTTCAAGGGGTGATTTTTTGGGTAATTCTCAGATGGAAAGTTCATCTACAACGTCATAGGTCTGGAAATATATAGTTTTCGAACTTACTGAATAAGCCTTTTACTACTACAAATAACACTGTCAAACTTAAACAAAATTGGGTTTTTATAACATATACGAAAAACCAATTTCTTCAAAATAGTCTTGACATCCTGTATGAACACTATGCATTTGAGACTCATCTTAGAATCACCCCTTGCAGTAATATACCATATTTGTATACAGTGTGTTCCACTTACCATGCTCACCATGGGTATCTTTTTAACGGTGAGAGATACGAGGTCGGTTAAATGACACCAAATGTGGAGTTTGTCAAGGCCAACTATAATGTGAAAAAATATTTTGATAAAATCCATTCGTTTTTGTTTTATACGCAAATAACAGATTTCGATCATTTTCATGTCTCCTCCGTAACTTCTTTATTTATGAAAATATTCAAATAGGAATTTCACATTCTCATGGCAGTTTTTCAAGGTGATTTCGAAAAAAATATTAAATTTATACCAACTCTTCTAGAATTTGCGATATCAGCACCAACTTTAGTTTTTCAAATGTAGGTCATAGCTCACTATGACCTAGTTACAAATAATTTTTTTTTCTCTCACAGATGACATGTCGCAGTAATAGTTTTGTGTTGATAACAACGGAGTTATCGTCATTTATATTAAATCAAAAAATTATTTGGAAGCCGCCATCTTGAATTTATGAATTTTAACGAAAGAATCATGATCTCCGACCTCAAAAACCCCCACTCACCAATATTGAATGGAATCGGACCAAATCTTGTCCGCCATCTTGGAGCAGCCATTTTTTTAATTTCAACAAAAATTCCAACGTGCTGCAATCAGTAATTTCTCAATGTGTTCCATTTAATGAAATCAAACATCGTACCTATCCACATTGGTATACCAAAACTATCACTAATAAAATGAAAATAAAAAATCATCACTTCAGGATGTACAAAAAAACAAAATACCTGTTTCATCTTGAACGATTCAAGAACTTACGTAAGGCAATAAGAACTGAAATAACAACTGCATACGAAGCTTTCATTCTGAATTCAGAAAAGAATTTGAAAGGCAATCCCAATTCGTTTTGGGCTTTTATTAACTCCAAAAAAAAATAAAACCCGAATTCCTGGTCGCATGATGCATCAAAATCTTTCTCTTTCAACTCCAAAAGAAATTGTTGATGGTTTTGCCACACACTTCAGAAGTGTCTATGCTACTGATAATAATCCGTGTAAACCACCCGATTCAATGTATAATTTCAGTACTCCACTAATTATTAACGAAATCAGTGAGGAACAAATGGACCTGATAGCATTCCCGCCAAATTAATAAAAACACATATATCCCACCTTCACCTACCTCTAAAAATTATTTCCAACACCATGTTACGCACGGGTCGGTTTCCTAAACTTTGGAAAATCTCACGTATCTGTCCAGTTCACAAGTCAGGTCAAGTAAGCGACATAACAAATTATAGGCCAATTGTTCTAATATCTGTTTTATCTGAACTGATTGAAATTATTTTATCGGATTTAATATACAGTCATATTGTTGGGTCCATATCAGAATTCCAACATGGATTTGTAAAAGCTCGTAATACGATTTCAAACCTCTGTACTTTCACTCAATATGTTTCAAATGCATTGGATAATAGGAAACAGGTGGACGTGGTTTACACCGACTTCAGTAATGCTTTTGACAAAGTTTCTCATCAATTACTGTTGGGGAAGCTGTACCAATTTGGAATTTCCACTAAACTTCAGAGCCTTCTGAAATGTTACCTGTCGGATAGAAATCTGTATGTTGAGTATGAAGGAGAAAGAAGTTTTGAGTTCACCGCATGTTCTGGAGTACCACAGGGATCCAATCTAGGGCCGCTACTGTTCCTCATGTTCATTAATGACATATGTGATTCCATTAAATCGAATAAGCTCCTTTTTGCTGATGACATGAAAATTTATAGTGAAATTCATGACATAACGGACTGCATTTCTTTACAGCATGATCTGTCTAACCTTGTGAAATGGTGTAACTCCAATGACTTACCACTCAATATCAGTAAATGTAAAGTGATGACATATTCACGTGAGTCTCCTATTGTACACAACTATATGCTGAACGATAACATTGTTATGAGGGTGCATGAATGTAAGGATTTGGGAATAACGTTCGACACGAAGTTGACATTCTCTTCCCACATAGAAAATATTGTTAATGAATCAACACGCCTACTCGGATTCGTTATACGTAATTGCAAAGAATTTGAATCAGTCGAAGCAATGAAATGTGTATACTTCTCTTTGGTTAGGACGAAAATGGAATACGCCAGCCAAATATGGAATCCCTATCATAATAAGTATATTGACAAACTTGAGAACATTCAACGTAAATTTTTAAAATTAATTTATTTCAAAGTGCACGGCTCGTATCCTGTGAGACACGATGATTATCACCTACTTTTGAATGAATTCAATATTGTCTCTTCAAAAAAACGTCGTGAAATTGCTGCTCTTTCCTTCATCCATAAACTTATCCACAATGATTTTCAAAATGGTATTAATTATATGTGTAGATGTTTCAATAATTTACCCTCAGTAGATATTTTTTTTTTGAGTTCTGGTCACTTCAAAAAGCTCTGTATAGGCTCATATCAAACTAACATAATCATTGGTTGAAATAGTGTTCTTATTTTCTGTTCATTATCATACTCATAGATATTTATGTTATAGTCATAGTGTTATACTATGCTAAGATAAGTGTGTGATGCACATTCTCCTCTTGTTATATACTCCTGTAATTGGACTTTTAGTCTGTTGGATGTATTACTTCAATAAATAAATAAATGAATAAATCAGCTATTCTTTCTCTTTTTGCAATTCCATCTCTTCTTGAATGAATGTCCACTATATCTCTAATTGGGTAATGTTCATTGTTTCTATTCAATAATATTGGTAAATCTATAATGTCATTATTCAACAAACAAAATATATTGTGCAAAACACAACATGCCATTATATGGTAGGGAATTGAATCAGTTCTTTTCATTGGCATTATATCTAATAAACTCCTGAAACGACCTTTCAATGAACCAATAGAGCGTTCCATTACCATCCTAGTGGAGAAGAGACAGTAATTAAAATGTTTTTGTCTTTCTGTTAGTTGTCCATTATCTCTATAAGGAACAATAAGGTGTCGTTGTAGTGAATATGCAGCATCTCCTATCAAGTGGGAATCATCAGGGAATTCCTCATGGCTAGCAAAAATATCATGTAAACCAGAATTACGAAAAACTCTCTGGTCATAGACTGATCCTGGGTATCCAACAAAACAATGAATAAATTTTCTAGAGTGATCACAGACGACCTGAAATGCAAATTGTGTAATAGGTACTTATTGTTCAAATCAACCTATTTTGAAGCTTGCCTGCAGTTGTATGGAGTGAACTTGCTTCCTATTTATATAAGATTCTGGTTGATTTTTTGGTGCTGGTATCTTGATGTGTGTCCCATCCACAGCACCAATAATATCAGAAATTCCATTCTCTGCCTGGAATGATCTAGTAATTGTTTCAGTTTCTTCTACAGTAGGCCATTTGATGAACTGGTATCGTACATTTGTTAAACACTTGACCACCCTTCTGACTGCTCTAATACCAGTGGCTCTTCCAACATTAAAACGATCACAAATTGATCTATAGGAATCTAGAGTAGCAAATGTCCAAATTGCTATCAGTAATTGTTTCTCAGGTGATATTGTATTTCTACCTGGAAGACCTCTGAAACTGTTCTTTCTTCAATTGGGGCCCAATCAACATTGGCAACAAAATGCATTCTTCATCACTGGAGCTTGTGCTCGAATCGTCATCGTCACTAATCGCTGATACTATGGAGGCTACAAGAATGGATTGCTCTTCCATGTTGAAATTAAGGATTTCCAAAATACAGTTCGAGCAGGACTACCGAGATCAAAACCAAAGAGCAGATGTGGCAGTGGCAGATAAACGAGAAAGAGAAACTAGAGAAGTGACAAACCGACAGCCACCCGACAGCTGACAAATTTCACCAACAACGCTGCTGATTACTGATGAAAACCAGAAAACGTGGTCCGAATTTCAGCACTGTATTTTTGATTTTATATTTCGGGACACAGATTTTCAGCAGAGTCCCCTCATGCCCCCCCGCCGAGATCGGCCACCAAGCGTACATACCGACACAGAATAACAAACCTTACAGATGAGACACTCCGCCCCTTTTGTTTGATGTATCGATACATGTGTTTCGTGACCTCGTTCAAACTTTGCGCGTCATGGTTGCCGGTTCTCAAAATGTCTGGTAGAATTATTCGTGGTGCAAAGTCGCAATATCAACGAATATCTTGATATCAGGGATTTTCTTCATGAAAAATTCCTAAAGCTTATATTGAATTGATATCATGAAGTGGTTCAAATTTGTTTATCGATTAGCTCAGACAGATTTAATATGACCTGATTCAGATCTACACGAAATAGTTGATATCAGGATTTGGAAAATCGTTACTTCAGAATGAAATTGTTGTAGTGAATGAAAATTTATTGAACTTATATGATATGCAAATAGTGCCTTGTAATTAGTTTATAAATATTTTTCTACGATATGATTCAATTCATTGAAAACATTCAACATCATAATATATTCATGATTCTCAAGTTCATTTCACAAAATTCGTAGAATAAATCAATGTGTAAAAAATATTTGAGGGGAATAAATTGAATACATTGGAGACTTGACAGGTGTGAGCTGAATTAATTCATTCATGTCTACATAACAAGAGTCAAGTCATACAAAAGTTGTTATAAACCTACCTATCTTAACACTTTTTATTGTCAATAAAATTAATTTCAACAGCGTTTTCATGAATGAACAAATTTGATAAGCGACAAAGATTAATATTTTAGTATTGAAATTAGGAAGTTCATAAAAATGAATCAAGGGAAATACATATAACGAATACATTTTATTTAACATTACAAGTTCATCGAAATATTCAATTTTCTATTTCGTTGTGGACACGCTTTAAAAGGAACATCAGTATTTTTCATGACATAAAATATTCGCAATCTCAAAAA